CGAGCCAACCTGTTTTATAGATTCTGTGGGTTAGTGCGAGACCACAGAGGTGCAGCCACGCTCGTGACCTGAAAGCACGCGGTGATAATGCGGAGGCCACTATTCTGAGTTACCAACACCTAGCTAGAGCTATGACTGCCCACCGCTAGAGATGGCATGTCATGGCCTCTTCGCAAGATACACAACATTTCATTGGAATTACATTTTCCAAGCACGGTTCATTCTAAAATCAAAATGTGATAACGGAAATCGGGAGAATACACTCAGAAACTCGTCCGGACACGCATGTACGCGCTGTAGCCATAGAGGGAAGAGGCTCCTTTCTTAGCTTTGCTAATGGTTTCTTTCCGTTTTTTCTTCACCGAAGTTTTATTCCGATGCCACTTTTAAGCGCCATAAACTCTCAGCTCGATCTTGTTCTTCGTCTCCGAATTCGGCACTATGGTCAACCGTCACGTTCGCATTTTTTCGAAATTTTTACGACTCTCTCTCTTGAGGGGATCCAGAAGCTCCCCACTCCCCTGTCTCTATAAACTAATTGAGCTGTACGTCTTGAGGCATTGAATATCACTAGACTGAGTGCTTTCTGGTGTGGGTAGGAGCTGCTAGCCATTTTTCATCACCATGATCATTATTTTGCAGCGGCGGATCCGCCTCCTGGTCATGACCGCAATTTCAGGATCAACTTGAAGAAGCACTCCATATGCGATCACAAGCAAATCTTGGATCTAACAGAGTCAAGGGTCTCATGACTTCTTCCAAATGCGAGTGTTCGAGTAAATAGAAAGTTTTGGGAACTTCAAATGTTTCTCTATCCAAACTATGCTAAATTTTCCTGATCATGCCACTTTTTGAAAACCGCCCATCTTCACCTTTGGAGAGTTTTTGAGCTTCCAGCGGTCATAACTCACTTGTTTTCATTACTGCAGCGAACTTCTGGCATGGCAAAAAAGTACAAGAGTTGTGTTTCTAATGCGCGCTCAACCAGTCCTAAAAGCTAATTTATTGAAAAACAACTGCGTTTGCACTTTTTTCTTGGGTTTTCGAGCAATAAACTCGAGTTTTTGGGCTTTCAGCGACCGCAATTTCTTTCAAGAAGCTTGTTGCTAATGTGCTCCCAATTCTCTTATAGAAGCTTCCGTGAAAATCTTGGTCTTCTAAATCTTTTATACTCGGCCTCAAGAAGTTAATACTTCCGTAGCACTGCACTCCGTTAATCTTTGTTTGGTACTAATACACCGAGATTCGTCTCAAACTATCCCTCCGCGTAATAAGTGGAGTTTGAAGTGGTCGGCATAAAGAAGACTCGTTTTGGGATACGCCAGGCACGCGCTGGTGGTTCAAAGTTGCAAAGGTATTTAGAAGTAGTTCCCTTTTGCTATGACCAAGTTGCTCAAATGTTAGCACTGCTACCACGCTCTGTTGCAACGAGGCGAGTTCTTCCTAAAAGTTTTACTAAAGACAGAAATTTTTTTCACGATATACATTTAGTAATTCAGGCGGAAAGGCGCCTCAGGACGAAACCATGTCTGAAAAGAGTATGACACCTTCATGTTCTTTGTGGGCATTCCTTCCAAGCCCTTCATCCACCGACCAATGACAACACTACCGCCTCGATTTCGGCTTGGGTCCTCGACATTGCGACTCCCTCGTTCGAATTGCAAACGGTCTGTTGACCCTTGTTGTCACGTCTACTTTTGACGAACTGCCTTCAGATGGTTTAAATCTCCCTCCCCGCCAATTCCTCGATTTCCCACTTCATATTGGGCAGTACCAAGCGCCCAGAGAATGGCAGCTTCAAAATCCTAAAATGCACTTGCTGATTCGCTGCTGAAACTGCAGAGAATGCAGCATTATCTCACTTAGAAATGGACTCAGTGGTTGCATCAAAATTTCAAACTTTGATCTCCTTGATGCGATCCTATTCTGGCATTATGCTTGCATCTGAACAGAGCGCACCAATGCCGAATGCTTGCAGTTTCGCACAGTAGTGTTGAAGCACGTAGTATTCCCCTCATAAAGGCGATATCGAGGAGCATAAGCAGTAAGCTCACTCTTTGCATTTTCAGGAAAAGCAGTTGTTTAGGAATTTCTCGAGCATTGTTAACGGATTCCCCAGCACGAATAACCCCGTATTTTTGAACTTTCTTACAAATGCACTCGTTCTTGCACCATTTCATGATTATGAGCTCACCTCACCCTTATTCTATATTAAACGAGGATAACCACAGATTTAGATCATGGGCCGTGCTGCTGGTGGAAAAGTTTTTGAACAACCACAGAAAATGTAGAGTTAACACATTCACGCCGATGGCCGCCCATATGGGCTGCCAACAACATGCGCTCCTGGGACGATGGCAGCCCATATGGGCTGCCAACTGATAATCGCTTGCCAGGCGCTAGGAATGGACAGATAGGTGGGCAAATCTCGTAATCGAGTGTAAAATGCTTTTAAATTCCTTCACGGGGAAAGTGAATAAATGCTCTCTTTTCGTGACCACTAAATCGGCGCCCACAGCGCCCACAAAATCGCGTCCGTTCCACGCGACCGAAAAGTGGAAGAGGGGCGTCGTCGTGAATGTGTTAATACAAAGTTCCGAACTGACAACCACGAAGTCTCTAAAAGAAACCACTATTTGTCCTGACAAGATTTGGCCTCCCGAAGCGAAACGCGAATGTTCATTGCTCAGTGCTGTCGGTAACATTTAAAGGGTTTCTTCTACTACGGAATTGAGATTACACTTACGTATCGTTGTACCAGCTTGCATAGGTCATACGGCTTACTGTTCATTCTTTTTCGTCATTAAGGATTTCGCCGTAGTAGAAAAGTTGTCGCTTACAGCGATCTCAGGTTAAACATAGGGCTCCACTTTTTTCCCATCGGCATCGTTTGATATTCAACGAGTAAAGTGAAGGGATTATGTATATCGTTTTCATAGAAGTTTTAGTGGATCAATCCTCTGAAATTCCTATGAATGACAATAATCAACATTGTGTGAGGAAAATCAATTTGTTTTTTTTTCTGCTGGAGTCAACGAGTTTTTTCCTAGGCCTCGTATAATTTAATTCGTGAGCACTCAGAGAATTGGATGCGATGGGCTCCCCTCCTTTCAATATCTTCTTAAAGATGCGCCATGCCCTTGCCCGCGGCGAAGGCTCGCTGAGGTGTTCCAAAGACAGTTTCCCTTACTCACATGATTTTTTCAAACCAGCCATTCATATCCTAGTCATTGGTAGAGGAACGAATTGAAGTCTGTGCCCGGTTTTATTCAAACTTGTCAATATGAATTTAGTTTAGATTTGCAATCCTCTAGTTCGACGCTTCGTTAGGGCGCATCATCGGCAACCAGTTTCCTGCAGTTTGCTTCTGTTTCATTGATGTATCGGCCCTTTCACTTCAAAATGTGTCTTTTTTGTGAAAACATTAAATTTGAACGGTATTTAGTTCTAGACATAGGCCGGGATCATTCATAATCATCTAATCGTAGTAGAATGGCTGGCAGGTGTTGGTGTGGTACCGCGTTCGCGGCTTGAAAGTTCGTAACAAAGACGCTACAAGCTTCTTGATCCGGCAGTGCACGCCTCCCTATTCGCGAATGTGTGGACCTATTTTTGAATTGCTGACTGGAGGGCTGGCATTAAAGCCACCGCGCAACGAGGTTCAAAGACACAACCAAGGCAGAAGTCGCGTGAACGATTCCCTTCTCTATTAGACCCCTAGAGCATCCCTGTGCATGGATATCACCCAGCAAGAGGGCTAGAGCCTTGCAAAGCATGCTGCTGAATAAAACATTTTTTTTAATCATCAGGCTATCGTCTGGCCTTCACTCATCTGTTGAGCTTTCTAAAATCATAGCACTCTCCTCCTCACGTTCATCAGGATGGTCTTCGAAGAGGAGCCGTGCTTTTTCAAAACGGTTTTTTGCGTGATATGAGGGCACATTCAGGGACCGCGAAGCAATGGTCAGTTTCCCTAAGTGGCTCCCCGAATACTAAAGAAGGGGCGAAGGGTTATCGGAGTGCCCTTCTGACTAATTGCATTAAAGTCTCAAACTTCTACTGCATCCTATTCCATCTATCGTTTGTCTATACTCTCCAAAATCGCGCGCTTAACCCGATTCTTTCATTGCGTCGCCTGATACGTAGCCGCCCCAAGGCGGACTTCTTTCCATGCCCCGCCTTTGGCTCCGCGCCACTTACCTTCGATTGTCCATAGAGTGTGTTTTTGTAAGTTTGTTTCTCTTCGGAAACTGAATCTTTGTGCGTGAAACTTTGTATGCTGTCTCTAGTGATCACAACTGACATATGCGAGTTGGGAAGGAATACAAAACTTTCTTTAGCGAACACAATCTTGAGAAAAGAAAATTGGGAACTATGCAACAAGGTGAAGTTCTAATAATTTAGTTCCTTTGACGTGAGCCCAAAATCAGTTAGCAACCTTTCAACCAGTCCACCAGTCACAGATATCACTCGGGCAGATAAAGGCAAAGGATTATACGCTAATCTGCCACACCACGAACCTTGGCAAACACTGTTATCTGTTGCAGAGTTGTACGCAGAAAAGACAAAAATCTTGTCTAGAACAATGAATAAGCCGAAACAAAATGAATCATTTGTACAAAACAAGCAATTGTCAAGCAAATCTTCTTGTGCAATGTGACAGAAGCATAAAATCACTTAACATGACAAATAAACTTGAAACATTACTACCAACCTTGCATATTCGGCCACATTTCTTATGTTATAAAGGAGATAAAGGCAGTTCCAATGTGGAAAACTTCGGGTATGACTCAATGTGACGAGAAGCACACCGTCACGGAGTCAGGCAGGCTTTCCGATGATGCCGGCTTTCAAGATTTAGTCGTCTGCTCACACTGCTCTCATCTAGTAAAAAAACATGACCGCTACCAGAGCAAAGAAAACACTACTCGCGCTTCGCGAACCCTCCACGCCTTTTTCGGTAGTGGACCAAGGCAAAGTGGGTTGGGTAGGCATTTCGGACGTTGTCATTGACTGCGAAATGGTGCTCAAATGGAACGCAGCACTTGAGGTCGTCACTTCCGTACGTACTGTTGCTGTAGTTGTAAGAGAGGTGGCAGTAGACGCTGAGCCACTCCGAGTTGTGGAAGAAAACTTGGGCGAAAATGATGGAGATGGCTGAGAAGTGGAGGCAGGCGGTTTACTTGAAGATACGGTGGACGAGTGGTGGGAGAAAGCGTGAGTGGAAGTCGTTCCCGAACCTGATGTTGACGACACCGAGGGCCTGTCGGAGAAGCTGGTAGTAGCACCCTTAGTAGAAATCGTTTCCGAATCTATTGTAGTCGACAATGCGGGTGCCTTGGAAGAGGTGGTGGTGGGAGCTGCAGTAGAAGTAGTTCCTGGAATTCGTTGCGGTCGATACTGAGGGCCCTTTGGAGGAGCTCGTGGTGGGTGCTGCAGTAGGATCGTTGCCCAAATCTGTTGTACTCGACACTGTGGGCGCCTTGGAAGAGGTGGTGGTGGGAGCTGCAGTAGAGGTCGTTGCTCGAACTTGTTGCAGTCGACACTGTGGGCGCCTTGGAAGAGGTGGTGGTAGGACAAAAAGAGAAAAAGGAAGACAAAAAAAGAAAGAAGAAGAAAGCTGCAGTAGAAGTAGTTCCTGGATTTGTTGCGGTCGATACTGAGGGCCCCTTGGAGGAGCTCGTGGTGGGTGCTGCAGTAGAGGTCGTTTCCGAATCTATTGTAGTCGACAATGCGGGTGCCTTGGAAGAGGTGGTGGTGGGAGCTGCAGTAGAAGTAGTTCCTGGATTTCGTTGCGGTCGATACTGAGGGCCCCTTGGAGGAGCTCGTAGTGGGTGCTGCAGTAGAGGTCGTTTCCGAATCTATTGTAGTCGACAATGCGGGTGCCTTGGAAGAGGTGGTGGTGGGAGCTGCAGTAGAGGTCGTTTCCGAATCTATTGTAGTCGACAATGCGGGTGCCTTGGAAGAGGTGGTGGTGGGAGCTGCAGTAGAAGTAGTTCCTGAATTCGTTGCGGTCGATACTGAGGGCCCTTTGGAGGAGCTCGTGGTGGGTGCTGCAGTAGAGGTCGTTTCCGAATCTATTGTAGTCGACAATGCGGGTGCCTTGGAAGAGGTGGTGGTGGGAGCTGCAGTAGAAGTAGTTCCTGGATTTGTTGCGGTCGATACTGAGGGCCCCTTGGAGGAGCTCGTGGTGGGTGCTGCAGTAGAGGTCGTTTCCGAACTTGTTGTAGTCGACAATGCGGGTGCCTTGGAAGAGGTGGTGGTGGGAGCTGCAGTAGAAGTAGTTCCTGGATTTGTTGCGGTCGATACTGAGGGCCCCTTGGAGGAGCTCGTGGGTGTGAAGCAGAGTGGTCGTTCCGAATCTATTGTAGTCGACAATGCGGGTGCCTTGGAAGAGGTGGTGGTGGGCTGCAGTAGAAGTAGTTCCTGGATTGTTGCGGTCGATACTGAGGGCCCCTTGGAGGAGCTCGTGGTGGGTGCTGCAGTAGAGGTCGTTTCCGAATCTATTGTAGTCGACAATGCGGGTGCCTTGGAAGAGGTGGTGGTGGGAGCTGCAGTAGAGGTCGTTTCCGAATCTATTGTAGTCGACAATGCGGGTGCCTTGGAAGAGGTGGTGGTGGGAGCTGCAGTAGAAAGTAGTTCCTGGATTCGTTGCGGTCGATACTGAGGGCCCCTTTGGAGGAGCTCGTGGTGGGTGCTGCAGTAGAGGTCGTTTCCGAATCTATTGTAGTCGACAATGCGGGTGCCTTGGAAGAGGTGGTGGTGGGAGCTGCAGTAGAAGTAGTTCCTGGATTCGTTGCGGTCGATACTGAGGGCCCCTTGGAGGAGCTCGTGGTGGGTGCTGCAGTAGAGGTCGTTGCCGAATCTTGTTGTACTCGACACATGCGGGCGCCTTGGAAGAGGTGGTGGTGGGAGCTGCAGTAGAAGTAGTTCCTGGATTTGTTGCGGTCGATACTGAGGGCCCCTTGGAGGAGCTCGTGGTGGGTGCTGCAGTAGAGGTCGTTTCCGAATCTATTGTAGTCGACAATGCGGGTGCCTTGGAAGAGGTGGTGGTGGGAGCTGCAGTAGAAGTAGTTCCTGGATTCGTTGCGGTCGATACTGAGGGCCCCTTGGAGGAGCTCGTGGTGGGTGCTGCAGTAGAGGTCGTTTCCGAATCTATTGTAGTCGACAATGCGGGTGCCTTGGAAGAGGTGGTGGTGGGAGCTGCAGTAGAGGTCGTTTCCGAATCTATTGTAGTCGACAATGCGGGTGCCTTGGAAGAGGTGGTGGTGGGAGCTGCAGTAGAAGTAGTTCCTATATCCGTTGCAGTCGATCGTGGAGGTCCACTGGAGGAGCTCGTGGTGGGTGCTGCAGTAGAGGTCGTTGCCGAACTTGTTGTACTCGACACTGTGGGCGCCTTGGAAGAGGTGGTGGTGGGAGCTGCAGTAGAAGTCGTTCCTATATCCGTTGCGGTCGATGTGGAGGCCTTGGAGGAGCTCGTGGTGGGTGCTGCAGTAGAGGTCGTTGCCGAACTTGTTGTACTCGACACTGTGGGCGCCTTGGAAGAGGTGGTGGTGGGAGCTGCAGTAGAAGTAGTTCCTGGATTTGTTGCGGTCGATACTGAGGGCCCCTTGGAGGAGCTCGTGGTGGGTGCTGCAGTAGAGGTCGTTCCGAACTTGTTAGTCGACACTGTGGGCGCCTTGGAAGAGGTGGTGGTGGGAGCTGCAGTAGAAGTAGTTCCTGGATTTGTTGCGGTCGATACTGAGGGCCCTTGGAGGAGCTCGTGGTGGGAGCTGCAGTAGAGGTCGTTCCCGAATCTGTTGTACTCGACACTGTGGGCGCCTTGGAAGAGGTGGTGGTGGGAGCTGCAGTAGAAGTCGTTCCTGGATTTGTTGCGGTCGATACTGAGGGCCCTTGGAGGAGCTCGTGGTGGAAGCTGCAGTGGAAGTCGTTCCCGAATCTGTTGTACTCGACACTGTGGGCGCCTTGGAAGAGGTGGTGGTGGGAGCTGCAGTAGAAGTAGTTCCTGGATTGTTGCGGTCGATACTGAGGGCCCTTGGAGGAGCTCGTGGTGGAAGCCAGAGTGGAAGTCGTTCCCGAATCTGTTGTACTCGACACTGTGGGCGCCTTGGAAGAGGTGGTGGTGGGAGCTGCAGTAGAAGTAGTTCCTGGATTGTTGCGGTCGATACTGAGGGCCCTTTGGAGGAGCTCGTGGTGGAAGCAGAGTGGAAGTCGTTCCCGAATCTGTTGTAGTCGACACTGTGGGCGCCTTGGAAGAGGTGGTGGGAGCTGCAGTAGAAGTCGTTCCTATATCCGTTGCAGTCGATCGTGGAGGTCCACTGGAGGAGCTCGTGGTGGGAGCTGCAGTAGAGGTCGTTCCCGAATCTTGTTGTACTCGACACTGTGGGCGCCTTGGAAGAGGTGGTGGTGGGAGCTGCAGTAGAAGTCGTTCCGAATTGTTGTAGTCGATACTGAGGTCCACTGGAGGAGCTCGTGGTGGGAGCAAGAGTGGGAGTTGTTCCTGCATCTGTTGCAATCGATACAAAAGGCCTTCTAGAGGAGCTTGTAGCTGGAGCCGTAGTGGAAGTCTTTCCCGAATCTGTTGCAATTGATACCAAAGGACCGCTGGAGGAGCTGGTGGTTGGAAGCTGAGCGGCCGCGGTGGTCGTCGAAGCCGCTGACGATGCCATTATCATGGATGCCAGAGCGAAGGCGTACGCAGTCACTGCAAATTACATGTTTTCACAATCCAGTCATAATTTTTCGCTGATGTATTTGTTTCTTTGGTGGAAACAATTTTTTAGATCAAAGCTTGGAATGCTCTTAAATTTTGATCTTCGACTACAAAATATGTTCTCCACTTTTAAAGTCCGAGCATTGAAGGCAGAACTCTACCTCACCATCTGGTTGCAAGTTGAATTTTCAGGTCTTGGGTTGTTTGTCTCATATGCTAACGCAATAGGTCTAGAGAGGCAATACAGAACTCCTGACAATTTGATTGAAAAAGTTTCTTTTTACATATTCTCTTCGAGCCCCAAGAGCATCACCTAATCACCTCATTGTTAGTGTTTCCGTATTCCGCTCAATTTGAGCAGCATGCTTGTTTTTCACACTTACATCCTATTATTAGGTCGTGAAGAAAGTTCTTGCGCTTTTCGGTGTTTCGTTTTTGAACGCTTTATTTTGTTACGAATTCAAGCAAGCTGCCAATGAGCTGTATGTGGTTTTGAAGAGCTTTTCTTGTTCTATCTAACAGCTAGGCTAGCTATGTTCCTTATTATTTAGTTGTCATTTTTTGAAGCCTTGAATACGGCATACTCCAAGAGCAAATTTGCATGATTTCCTTTTTCTAGCTCAAAGCAGGCCAGTATGGAGAGGAAGCAGGTCAAGATATTATAGACGCACTTGGCTGAGATTCGCAATAAATATGGTCTGAAGCAATTGTTCAAAAAGCTTTTGTAAGAATAGCGAGAGCCCTAAAGATTGTGAGGGTGGTGATCGGAGATTGGACAACGCCAACGATTAGTCGAACGTTCTGGTTGAAGCACGTTTGCACAAATCTATTGAGAGGGTTCCTCCTAAACTAATCGCACTTGCATTGTGTTTTCTTGTTGTACGGGAAGAGCTGGAAAGTCCCAAAAATTCAAATAGGGCGTGCCGCGACAGCTCACCATTTTGAAGGGTCGTTCGCCGCGTTCTAGCTTGTTTCATGCCATGAAAACGACCTGACTTTTTGATCATTTGCGACGCACGACAAAGAACGGATTCTTTGCTACAGAATACGAACCTTTGGTGAAGTGATCGACCGCGATCAGGCTCTACAAACTTTGCAAAAGTGAAACTTCACTGAAGGAAGGTTGAGGTGACTTTCATAAGGTCAGCGGCTGGTCTAGCTTTTCGTAACCAGGTGGATCTGTTAATGTGGAAAAAGTACTCCTGATAATGTGTCAAACTACTCCTAGAACTCTGGCACATATGCTCGAAATTCCTCATTATAAAGGAACCGGCTCGTCCCTGACAGGTAGCTCGGACGCACATTCCACAACCAACCCTGCAGAAGTTGGACAAGATTGGCTACAAATTAGTCCTTTTCCCTATAATTTGTCACTTTCTCGACTACCTGGATAGCTTCTCCAAAGAGTTATGCTTCAAAAACCAACATGATGCGGAAACGACCTCCGCCGGGTTCATCGTCTCTAGAGCTCCAGTATTCTGCACTACCGGGCTGATTCAACGCAGCTATTATTGGCAGAGGTTTGTGGATTCTAACAGTCTTTACTCCAATCGAAAAGTTTCGAATGAGCCGAGATACAGGCATTTGAAAATCAAGAATAGAATTTATTTATTTATTTATTCGGCTATTTGAATTTCCACGTATTGTTAAGAGTGCTTTTTTCACTGTAACAGTTCCGTCTGATACGAAAGTACATAGCCAGCCGCCGACCTTATGGAAGCTGACATGACCCTCCTTCAGCAAGTTTAACATTTGCAAATTTGTAGAGCTTGATCGTTGTCGATCTACTATTTAGCAAAGCTCCGTGTGCTGTAGAAAAGACACCATTCTTTATCGTGCTCGCTAATGATTAGAAAACCAGGTCGTTTTCATGGCATAAAACAAGCTAGAAAGCGGCGAACGACCCTTCAAAATGGTGAGCTGTCGCGGCACGCCCTATTTGAATTTTTGGGACTTTCCAGCTCTTCCCGTACAACAAGAAAACACAATGCAAGTGCGATCAGTTTAGGAGGAACCCTCTCAATAGTTTGTGCAAACGTGCTTCAACAGAACGTTCGACTAATCGTTATCATTGCCCGACCACCACCCTCATCCTTTTTGAGGCTCCCACTATCTTACAAAAGCTTTTTGAACAATTGCTTCCAGACCATATTTATTGCGAATCTCAGCCAAGTGCATCTACAATATCTTGACCTGCTTCCTCTCCTTAGCGCCTGTTTTGAGCTAGAAAAGGAAAATCATGCAAACTTGCTCTTTGAGTATGGCGTATTCGTAACTGATAAACAAATGACATACATAGAAGAAAGGTGACCCCATTGTAAGATAGAACAGGAACTTCAAAATGGCTTTAAACACTCTGGTGGTTGCGGACAAAACAGAGCGTTCAAAATGGAACACCAAAAAGCGCGAGATCTTCCTTAACGACCTAATACATATTACACCATGGCAGCTTTTAGTAAGGCTTCACTTCGGTGCTAACTAAATACTTAGAAGAATCGCTCACAAAAAATTATCATTCTATCTCATCCGTAACTCACTGGCTTGAGACCCATCATTCACGATAGTAACGAAAAGAGCAGAAAAATTGGTTATGTTTTCGTATTCAATGCGAAATACTCGGGGGACTGTTAAGCGTTTGAATTCTCGCCCTACATGGGAACGGATGGTCAAGTACCATTCAACAAACTCTGAATAAACTCTTGACTCCTCAAACAACTACATTCGCTGAAAGGTGATCCTTTACATAGCATCAGGTGGAATGTAAAAGGGTCTTTTCTGCGAAATCTTGAGTCTATCAGTCTCTTCAAGAGAATGATTAAGCTGTCGGCTCTCCTATCAAATCAGGACAGTTTTGCCCTGTTAAAGCTCTCCGGGGCGGGGCAGAATTCCGATCTACCAGTAGCGACATGTACTAACCTCTACCCAAAGCACTCATTGTTAATATTCTACATAGACGGACAGAAAAAATCATGCCTTCTCCCCATTTCACCTTCCACAGGATTCTTAGAAGAACTCACATGTGTAAAGTCCTCCACGAGTTAAAGGCAAAAGTCGGGCTCAATAAGGGGGTATTATGGCGATTGAAACTGAGTATAGAGATGCGAAGTGGAACGACAGTGGAGAAAAAACTGAGAAAAACCGTCGACAAGGCCGTTAACAAAACCCTCTTCCCACTAGCAGTGAAGGAGGCTGGCTTGGGGAAAGAGGCACGTACAAACAAGTTTTCTGGAGATGTCAGTCGTTCTATCGGTTGATACGGCAATCAACCTAGCTGATTTCACACGTTATGCCAGCCACGCACCACATCCCGAGGTGGGCGGTCGTAGCGGGGCCAGGCGGCGATAGCGCATAGTACATGCCCTGGGGCCTTATTACCGCGCCGTTTCGAGATTTTGAGTGTGGGAACATCTCTACGGGTGCGTAACCAAGTACAGGCATGACCGAAAGGGTTGGTTTGGTCAACTAATCCCGACCTTTGCCTTTCAATCCGCTATTTGTCAGTGGAAGAGTATCGTGAAAACTGATATGAGCTGGAGACTCGTCGAACGCAAGCTAATGATGAGTTGGGGAAACTTCATTATCATTCAGGATAAACGAAAGATATCACGTGAAAGTTCCCGCTGGAAAATGCAACAGCTTCCAGTAATGTCCAACGGCAGCCTATTCCGAAGCGAGACCCCATTTCAAGAAAACAGTGATTCGCTTCTATTTCTGTTCGCCGATAGAACTATGAGGCTCTTCTCAAGGACAGTACTATGACATGAAGAAGCTTTTGCAAACAAGTGCGAGAGATAGTGCTTTTAGCTCCAAATTCCCTCCACTTCCAAGGCAGCTTTCTCATTGTGAGTGACCATGCCTCACAATCCACGCCGGAAGAGCTGGAGCGACGGGGCATAACCTGGCTGCCCATGCAACATCTTCACCCTAGCTGAGTTCTTTTAATTATGATTATTTGAAAGGCCGAAACAGTTGCAAGAGAATTCAACATCCATCAAAATGTTGAGCATTGTATCTCATCCTCCTCCCTTCTATGGGAAGGGTACCAGAGCAGTACTAGATCATAGGAATTGGCCAGAAAGTATCGTTAGCTTAACTGGTGTTCTTAGTCACTGTAAATTTGCGCTGATAAAATGACTCAGTTTTCCCAAAACCTTCTGGACACTAATTTAAACCGCTACAGCAGCAATTTGCTCGATCGCGCAATGTAATTGGGTATAATATATTAGAGTTTAACCATAAGACAACGTCGAGTAAGTACAAAACTAGACAGTCTCCCAAGACGCATTTCTTTAATCTTCCATAATCTCACGAAGAACAACCGACGGCTTGAAACGACCTTTGCTTTTCAGAGTTTCACTTCAAATGTGAAGTTCACAACAATGTGCCAGTCTTTGCTGCGCATGATTTCAACACGATCTACTTAGCAGTTGTGATACTTTGGAAACAGAAAAGTATATGCCCAGAAAGACAAGCACTGCAATGCCGAACTCCATGGAAAATTGTGCTTAGAAGGCTTTGAATTCATACAATGTTATCCTTCTGCCAACGAGATTGTTGGGTGGAAACTTTATCGGTGGCCTGACGTTTCGACGAGATCGTCTTCCTCAAAGGCCTAACATGGCTCGAGGTTTGATGTATGTCCTTTGAACCTGCCAAACGCCTCATCTCCCTAGCGTTTTTGAAAGAACTTCAGAGGAACGATCTCGTCGATACATTTATTTACTTATATTTATTTATTTTATCAGTCCAGTAGAAAAGTTTTTACCTAATTACAACAATGCCGAGGTTTCACG